GGGCTTAACTAGTGAGGTGCCGGCGCTGGTGGGCGGGCCAGGGGGCCAGAAGGGTCTCTCCCCTTCCCTTCGATGGCGGCCCGAAGTTCTCCCGGTTCCTGTGATTGTACTAGTGTCTGGCAGAACACGATCCTCAGCTGTTTCTTAGGACATTTTCCTTTATCTTCTCTCGAGTCTGAAGGTTCACTTCCACCACTCATCTATTTGGAAGTCGACCTTGAGTAGGAATCTATGGGGCAAATCATCATAACCACTGTGACTCAACGAGGTCGTGGGCAGTTACACCAGGCTTGTGAAGACCACCCAGAGCGGAGGCAGGATGTACCTCCCGTTGGTACACTGGCAGGAACGGGTGCCCAGACCTGCCCTGCCTGCATCGATGGAGAAACTTGAGTTCAGCTAGACTTTCCCTTACACCAGTGTGCTAATGGGAAGAGCGCCCTTTATATGGCCAGTTAGAATCCAACATCTTTGTGTGTAAGTGGGATAAGGGTGCAAAGAAAATGCTTATTTTCTTGGCCTCAAAAATCAGGCCCTCCAGAGCAGTCTGTTTACAAATCTGCTTGCTGTCACTAGGTTAGCTACCTAATATGCACTGCCCCATTTTGGTGGCTCTGTATGGTAGGCAACGTGCGTTTTTGTCTTGTCTTCCAGGTCAATATCCAACGCAGCCAACCTACCCTGTGCAGCCTCCTGGGAACCCAGTGTACCCTCAGACCTTGCATCTTCCTCAGGCTCCACCCTATACTGATGCTCCACCTGCCTACTCGGAGGTGCTTCCAGTTTACTAGACTTGAACTGAATACTCTGGGATCACATTTTCAGTCTTCAGTTAAGCCTGACTCCACGTATCTATTAACTCCATAAAGAGTAGAGAGTGCTCACATGAACAGTCTGAAACTGTATACTTCAGCAATTTCTGCTGGGGTTGAGAAGGCATTATCTGATTTTTTTGTTTTTTGGCACAGGCTGAGGTTAGGAAGATGAGTTTGCGTTCCTTGAGCCTAACATTAGCTATAGCAGGAAGTGACCCAAGAGAATACTGAGTGGCAGCGGAAAGGCAGTTTGTGTAACTCACAGCGTAATCTGCACAAGGAGAATTAAGAATTGACTCATGAAAGAGATCTAAAATTGGAATGTCTTAAAGTAACCCGTTCCCTTCTCTTCTACCTCTTCTAGCTCTATCGTCCGAGCTTTGTGCACCCAGGGGCTGCCACAGTCCCCACCATGTCAGCTGCATTTCCTGGCGCCTCACTGTATCTTCCCATGGCCCAATCTGTGGCTGTTGGACCTTTAGGTTCCACAATCCCTATGGCTTATTATCCAGTTGGTCCCATCTATCCACCTGGTTCAGCAGTGCTGGTGGAAGGAGGGTATGATGCAGGTGCCAGATTTGGAGCTGGGGCTACCGCTGGCAACATTCCTGTGAGTATGACCTTACCAGAAAAACTCAGCTCTTGTGTGTTTTAAATTTCTGAAGAGATTCCATCCTTTCACCGTCCCTGGATAATAGCTGTGGTATTAGTGTAACCACTGATTTCCAGTGGTCAGGCAGAAAGCAGATGAGGGGGGCAGGAGAACTATGGAAAGTTAGTAGCATCTGGCACATACCCTGCGGTCTGAGTTAACCAGATTCCTTTGTTTTCCTATCTTAGGAGTCCTGCCTGCTGCCTTTTCAGTTCCAGTTTGGTACTGGTCTAGTAATATTCCTTATTTATTCCATAAACATTTACTTCAAGTTTGCCATCAGCATGGCATTCCATCAGGAAACAAGATGATTAAAAATGGAGAAAGCATAGTCCCTCTTAAGTAACATTTGGAAAGATGCTAGAGGTTGTAGTCCGGTTTCCTGCTTAGTTCGCCCATGCATAAGAATTAGAGCCCCAAATGGTCCTTGCTAGGGCCATCCACTCAAAACCATATGCCTGAAATGAGGTGAGAACGCCTTTGAATGAGTGGTAGGCTCTTTCCTGTTTGTATCTTTGGGTTCACAGAGAATACAGACCTGCTTTACAACCCAAGCTGGTGGTAGGACTAGCTTTAAGATGCGATTGGTCAGCACATTGCCATCTTCCTAACGGATCCTGTTTCACCTGTGTCCCACTTCCCTTGTCTCAGCTGCCCTATGCCCAGTCAACCTTGTCTTTTCCTTTCAGCCTCCACCCCCTGGATGCCCTCCCAACGCTGCTCAGCTTGCAGTCATGCAGGGAGCCAATGTCCTCGTAACTCAGCGGAAGGGAAACTTCTTCATGGGTGGCTCAGATGGTGGCTACACCATCTGGTGAAGAACCAAGGCCACCTCTGTGCCGGGAAAGACATCACATACCTTCAGCACTTCTCACAATGTAACTGCTTTAGTCATATTAACCTGAAGTTGCAGTTTAGACACATGTTGTTGGGGTGTCTTTCTGGTGCCCAAACTTTCAGGCACTTTTCAAACTTAATAAGGAACCATGTAATGGTAGCAGTACCTCCTTAAAGCATTTTGAGGTAGGGGAGGCATCCATTCATAAAATGAATGTGGGTAAAGCAGCCCTAAGGATCTTCCTTTAATTCCTCTGGAGTAATACTGTACCATACTGGTCTTTGCTCTTAGTTAATAAAACATCAAATTAGGTTTGGAGGGAACTTTGATCTTCCTAAGAATTAAAGTTGCCAAATTATTCTGATTGGTCTTTAATCTCCTTTAAGTCTTTGATTTCTATTACTTGTTATAAATGAAACGCATTAGTTGTCTGCCTTTCCCTCCTTTCCATTCTTTGCCCCATGTCCCACCCTCACCTCTAGTCTCTTCCAGTTCCTTCCCGCCAATCTCCATTGAATCAATGGTGCAGGACAGAAAGCCAGTCAGACTAACTTCCTTCTCTCCTTGCACTTGTCCCCACTTGCCATCTTTTAACTAGTCTTTCACAAGGATCCTCTGAAACCCCCTCTGTGCCCCAAGCACAGGCCCCGTTACTTCTGCTTTTGCATCTCCTCAGGCAAAAGTGGAGGGTGCCTCTTGGACCCTCCTCATAGGTTGTTTCTTCATCCATGAACCAAACCCCAATTTGCTTCGGTGCCAGAAAAACAGAGCTCTATTTGAACAAAGGGTGTCAATGCAAACTGTACTGTAAACAGGTTTGTTTAAAATGTGGGGGCAAGGAGGAAGATGCATTTCAAAAGCCGGATGACGTCAGAGCCCAATTAGGGGAGGTTTTCCCATCCAAAAATTGGTTACCGTTCATTGTCAGAATACCTGATGGAGGCCCTCACGGCTCCTGAGAATTCCTCAGCTGGGTTAATGGGGTCATGTTATGAATCCCTCACTACAAAATGACTTGAGTCCAGTGAAATCTCATTAGGGTTAAGAATATTTCAGGGATCCTTAATATTTTGATTTTTGTTTTCTGCAATTGGATTTTATTTTATTTTATAATTTCAGTTCATCTAAATTTTGTGTTCGGTCCATGTGATGTTTGACTGTACCATTGACTGTTATGGAAGTTCAGCGTTGTATGTCTCTCTCTACACTGTGGTGCACTTAACTTGTGGATTTTTTATACTAAAAATGTAGAATAAAGACTATTTTGAAGATTTGAATAAAGTGATGAAGTTGCATTACACCTCACTTCAAGGATTCTTTACTCAACTTGTTTTTAGATTTCTTCTCCATGTATCTTTCATGTCCCACCCAGAATTCAGATAGGTGCTACTGTCATTCTGGGTTTTTGTTTTGTTTTGTTTTTTAAATGAAGCCTTTGAAATAAATTCAGGAGTACGTGGCCAAGATTTGACCATTTTCATGAGTCCCATTCTAGGTGCTTTACTTTTCTTCATTTTACTTCCTAAGCTCTTTCAGATTCTTAAGAGCCTATTATGCCAGAGGTATTCAGAACATAAACTTAGAAATAAGGGAACGACTGACTGTCCTAACTTGCTCTAGAATTTGACTTGAGAAAAATGTTTTAGTATGACAGTCTGTGTAAGTTCAAGGTGACCTTCAGTTTCTCCAAAGTTCTGTGTGGAGAAAATACTGAAAACTAGGATTGTCAAAATTGATTCTTCAACTCTTGGGTCTTGGGAGGAATTGAGCTTGGACAATGGAGGCAATAACAATTAAGACCTCAAAGGAGATTTAGCTTAATTCCAAAGTAAACAGTATTTGGGGAGCTATGATTTCTATCAAAACACTGGGTCTTTTAAACACATATCATTTGGGGACTAAGATCCAAGAAGCTTCTGTGGGCTTGATTCAAAGGACACTGGTCAGAAGAGTGGTGGGGAGATTGTTTCTGGTTCCCTCTGTGTATACACAGAATGGGTCTGGGAAGGGTGTCTGGGTGGCTCGGTTGGTTGAGCATCTGCCTTCAGCTCAGGTCATGATCCCAGGGTCCTGGGATGGAGTCCTGAGTTGGGTTCCCTGCTCAGTGGGGAACTTGCTTCTCTCTCCCTCTACCGCTCCCCCCCTCACTCATGCTTTCTCTCGAGCATGCTCTCTCTCAAATAAATACACCTTAAAAAAAAAAAAAGAATGGGTCTGGGAAATTCTGGCCCTTGCCAGGATGGAAGGTAAAACCATTTCATCTCCCAGGGTATGTTTCTAATGACACCCCTGGGACAAGCTTCCCACGACCATCTTTGTTTCAAACTCCTGAGATTGTTGTGGGAACTTTTTTTTTTTAAGATTTTGTTTATTTATTTGACAGAGACACAGTGAGAGCAGAAACACAAGCAGGGGGAGTGGGAGAGGGAGAAGCAGGCCTCCCGCAGAGCAGGGAGCCCAATCCGGGACTCGATCCCAGGATCCCGGGATCATGACCTGAGCCAAAAGGCAGACGCTTACGACTGAGCCACCCAGGCGCCCAATGGGAACTTCTTCTGAAACTTCCCTAGGGTTCTTTATGTTTGGGAGAGAACATATGCAAACGAGTTAAATAAGCAAAAGAAAATGTCAAAAAAGTTTCAGTATGGATAAGTCAGAATATAAAGGTAGTTACTTCTTGCACACGAGAATCAGATTTCTCTGTCAATGAACATTTTTAATTGTGATAAAAATAGCATCAGTATAAGGTTGTTGGGGAATATGGAAAGGAAGGGCTCAGATTAGGAGATATAGCACATTCATCAGGGGGTGGGGTCTCCATAGTCTCCTGCCCCTCCCCGCTTGGCCTTTTACCATGGTATCCAGCACCTGGGAAGAACTTCTACAGACACTATCTCTGTTCCAGCTGTCACTAGCAGACCAGGTAGGGGACAGAGGAGCAGCCAGCGACCCTAACTCTCCTTCCCTTTGACCTTGAAAAAAGTGAAGATGACTGGGCTCATGTGGCCTGGTGTTGCTCCACCTTGTTGGGCAGCCACCGAAACCAGCTAGACTACAAAGGCCTCGCTAAAGATGTCATCAACAGCTTTCTCTGTGTCCCTGGCATCAGTGATGTTGGCATTTGGGCCTGTGTCCTAGAAGGAGCTCAGGTTTGCCCATATCAGTCAATGCTTCTCACTGGTTTCAGATAAAACTTTCACCTAATAAATAGTGTGTTAGCACTGGAGCCTGGAGAAGCTCCTTGGGGCCCGGGAATCATTAGATGAAATATTCCTCCTTGTCCCTGCCCTTGGCCGAGTCACTTTCCATTTGGAGGATGGCGCTGGGCTCGCCTTCTGCAGGTTCGTAGGTGACGTAGCTGCCTTTGTCCTTGTACAGGTAAAAGAAGATCAAGACCACGACTGAGAGCAGGGTGAGGAAGACCACGGTGATAACAACTTGGAAAGGAGAGGGAAAATGCAGAGATGGTTCAGGATTGAGGATGTCTCAGTAATTCATGGGGTCCCCCGAATTCAACGATTCCCTCACTTTTTATAAAGATCCTTCTGTTCTAGTTAACCAGCGTCCACTTCCAAAATCCATATTCCCCCTCAAGTCCCACTTCCACGGTGCATGATAATCTGAAGTGTCCTGGGGCTTAAGCTAAACACACATGGCTTTTGATTTCTAACAAAACCACCCCCTCTCAACCAGTTCCTGATGGTTCTGATAGAAACAGGAAGGAGGGAAACAGGAAATAGCTTATCCCAACAGGAAGGCATTTTTAAATCCACAGCCTCCTGCAGGGCTTTCTCTGATCCCTCCCACCCTCGTCCTCACGCGTCTGACAAAACCACACATGTTCCCATCCCCACCCGCACACTGGAGTGTACTGCCCGTACACACCTATATCTATTTGTGGCCGCTTCCCACATTTACTGGCAGTGTCTCGGGCGTGAAGCCTCTAAGTCTTTTATAGCCTTGTGTGTGTGCATAGAAGATAACCTACGTGCCAAAACGAGCCCATTAATGGATTTGGTCTCCAATTTGTGGTGCTTTCCTGCATAGGGAAAATCCTTGATCACTACACTGGGTTGCCAGTCTATGGAGCAAGAGAGCCCCTGAATTCAAAATGGATTTGGCTCAGGGCCTTTGTTACCTGCAATGAGTGCTGTGCTGGCCTCGGCTTCTGGGGACAGGGCTTCAGTGGCCTGAAGAATTGGGGTGGTCACCAGTTCTTCTAGAAAATTTAGAAAAGTGAAAAAGGAAATGGGGTGAATTCTTTTGTCATACAGTGGTTAAGAGTATGGGCTTTGGAGGGGCACCTGGGTGGCTCAGATGGTTAAGCGTCTGCCTTCGGCTCAGGTCATGGTCCTAGGGTCCTGTGATCGAGCCCTGCATCGGGCTCCCTGCTTGGCGGGGAACCTGCTTCTCCCTCTCCCTCAATTGTTCCCCCTGCTTGTGCTCTCTCACTCTCTCTGTCAAATAAATAAACAAAATCTTAAAAAAAAAAGAGTATGGGCTTTGGAGCCTAACTGATGAGGTTCTGAGCTCTGTCCTTTACTGGCTGTGTTACCTTCAGAAAATTACCTAACCCCTCTGTGCATTAGCGTCTTCATCTGCTTTTTAGGGTTGTTGTGACAGGGAGGAGGTAACTCAATAAGGATAAGCTATTATTAGGAATGCATACTCTTACACAGATGAGATCAAATGATGAGTGTATATACATGTATATATATTTACATTATATTGGCAGAGCTATTTCTTTAATGTTCTTACAAACTCGTTTTGTTTTTTTTTTTTAAAGATTTTATTTATTTATTTGACAGAGAGAGACACAGCGAGAGCAGGAACACAAGCAGGGGAGTGGGAGAGGGAGAAGCAGGCCTCCGGCTGAGCCGGGAGCCCGATGTGGGACTTGTTCCCAGGACCCACATCGGGCTCCTGGCTCAGCGGGGAGCCTGCTTCTCCCTCTGCCTCTCTCCCTGCTCATGCTCTCTTTCTCTCTCTGTATCTCTGTGTCTCAAGTGAATAAATAAAATCTTTAAAAAAAAAAAGTATTTACATGGGCCGTCAGGGAGCCCTTTACTTCTGTCCCTAGTTAGCATTTTAGTGTAGGGATTTGAAAAGGCACCGAGTTAAGGTTACTGCAGGACAGGGCGCCTGGGTGGCTCAGATGGTTAAGCGTCTGCCTTCGGCTCAGGTCATGATCCCAGGGTCCTGGGATCGAGTCCCGCATCGGGCTCCTTGTTAAGCAGGGAGTCTGCTTCTCCCTCTCCCTCTGCCTTTCCCCCTGCTTCTTCTCTCTCTGTCTCTCCCGCAAATGAATAAATAAAAATCTTTAAAAAAAAAAAAAAAAAGGTTACTGCAGGACAGAGGTATCCTGGGGAAAAGGGGCTGGCTGACCCTGACATCGCCCACAGGAGACATTATTCAATATTCATTCAATAAATAATAGCAGCACTCATTAACCGCCTACCCTTCATCAGGTATTGGGGGCCAGGCACACTGGGGATATAATGGTAAGCAAATGGCCTGCCTTCATGGAGCTGACCCTCTACCATGCCATGGTTCACGGTTAATGACCGCAATACACGAGACAAAGGAGATCTCGGGCACACAGGAGAGCCCGGGACAGAGGGCCTTGATCTAGTCTTCCAGCAGGGCACAGCCTTCCCAGGAAGTGAGATGTGAGCTGGCCACTGAAGCAGGGGGTAGGAGTTTACAAGGTAAAAGGGACAAGGGCCCGCGCAGCTTGAGCACAGTGCAGGAGCGTGACTCCCCTCCGATGCCTGCCGCCTTCAGGTTTCCATCCAGGGCCAGTGATATGTAGTCACCAGCGGGGGGACTGGGAGCCTGGGAGCAGTGCTGAAAGGGGCCAATGGTGTTGAGGGGTCTTTTCACACAGGCCAAGAAGGGGCCTGATGAACCTGGTCCTGCAACAGAGAAAGCAGGGGTGGGCTGCCTAGAGCAACCCCCCACTCCCAAGGCCAGGCCACAGGGTCACGTCTCCTGATTCCCTCCTGCGCGGTCCTGCTCTCCTGCTGCCGCTGGGGGCGACATTAACCAACCCTGCAGGGCAACGATGAGGCCTGAATGAGAGCGCAGGAAGCAATCACATAGTGACGCTGTTTCTGTGCTTAGTGCTTAAAAGGGAAAGCTAGTCTCGGTTCGAACCTTGCCCCAACATACTACTAGGTGACCTTAAGGACGTTACTAAACCTCTTGGAGCTTTAGTTTCTTGAACTGCAAAACAGAGGTGTGGTGGGCAGCTGGTGAGGTGGCTCGGGATGGTCCCCGCTGCCTGGTGTTTATTTACACCCTGTGTAAGCCCCTCTCCCTGTGTGTGGGCTGGACCCAGGGACTTGCTTCTCACAAAGAGAGTACAGCAAAAGTGATGGGCTGTCACTTCTGAGATTACGCTGTGACTTCCATCAAAGAGAAGCCTTGAACTTTACCCTCCTGATTCTTGCCTCAGACTGCTGCCCCTCACCATGCACACTTTCCTCCCCCAAACCTCCCAGGGCTGCACTTCATCTTCCCACCATTGATCTAGAATGCTGTACAGATGCTCTTAGTCTTGCCTTCCTTAAACATTAGAAAACGTAAGCTATACAAAGCACTGAGAAGAATAGTTTATGTACGGGAGCTTAAGTATAAAGATTAAGAAGATTCAATTCAATCAATCAACAGCAATTTACTTTGCCCCTACCATGTGCCGGAGGTACAGTCATAGATGCTGAGAAAGGGGCGGTGATGAAGTCAACCAGGGACTGGACCATGGAGCTCAATCTCAGTGAGGGTTCAGAGGGCAGATACATATGACTCCCAGAGGATGGAAGATGACTGCTATTTGGGAAATTCTGCAAATGATCCCAATTATAGCAGCTGCCATTTACTAAGTCCCTGCTTCGTGCTGGGTGCTTTATAGACATACTCCTTAATCCTTACATCAATCACTTCAAAGTAGGTGTTTTTATTTGCTAATGTGGACCCCGAGGCCCCAGGAGAGTTAAATGGCATGGCTCATGTCACACATGATGGAACAGTGCATGGAGCCAAGATCTGAATCCAGGACTACACGCTCCAAAGCCCAAGCAAGGTATTTATACTAATCCTTCCTACTATGTCCTTTTCTTTTTTCCCAGAGATTACCACGGGGCAGCAAAACAAGCTTTCCAGAAAGCTCAAGGGTTTAAAAAACAGGGGTAAAGGCGGGAGAAACACCAGCCGACCACAATCCGCTACACGCTGTCGTGCCACAGAGTGCGTCCTTAATGCGGACTGGCTCAGGGGCAACTGGTGAGCGGGCCGTGACGTCTGTGTAACGGGGAAGACATTTTGCCTCACAGGCAACATCCTTCTTAACTTTAACGCTTGAGGTGCTCAGAGGCAAGCTCGCTACAACCGAAGAGCACATTTTGGCAATGTAGAAAGACCTGCAGGAACATACAGTTCGGGGTCCCTGGGTGGCTCAGTGGGTTAAGCGTCTGCCTTCAGCCCAGGTCATGATCCCAGGCTCCTGGGATCGAGTCCTGCGTGGGGCTCCCTGCTTGGCCAGGAGCCTGCTTCTCCCCCTCTGGCCCCACCCCCGCTCCCGCTCCCGTTCTCTCTCGCTATCTCTCTCTCTCAAATAAATACATAAAATAGTAAAAAAAAAAAAAAAAAAAAAAGACACACACACCAAAAAAAAAGCCTCCTTCGTGGATGCAGTTTTTGGTTGGAAGCCATCTGGTGAAGCAGTTAAGTACAAAATGAAGGAGGTACAAAGAAATTTACCTCTAGACGAAGACAACCGAGTAATGAAGAAGGCGGACCCTACATCAGATTTTTACTTCTGATGAAAATGGTCTCTGTTGGAAGCAAAGACTCTCTGGCATCTAATTCTAAAAGGAGGAAGCACACACCTCAGGAACAAAGGCTCACCCATTTTGTAGCACGTGTCAGAATTTCCTTTGTTTTTAAGGCTGAGTAATATAACAAAGGAAGTTCTGACATACGCTACAGAATGGATGCCACTTAGATGAGGTACCGAGAATAGCCAGATTCATAGGGACAGGAAGTAGAATAGTGGTTGTCAGGAACTGGGGGGAGAGGGGATGGGTAGCTGTTACTACTTTTTTTTTTTTAAGATTTTATTTTTAAGTAATCTCTCCACCCAATGTGGGGCTTGAACTTAAAATCCGGAGATCAAGAGCTGCATGTTTTACCGAATGAGCCAGCCAGAGGCCCTGGGATAGGAGTTGTTGTTTAATGGGTAGAGAGTTCAGTTTGGGTGTGAATATACTTAATGGTATACTTAAATATTGTAAGTTTTATGTTATGTATAATTTTACTGTAATTAAAAAACTTTTCTTCATACAGTTTACATTCTGAGAAGATGGACAATAAATAAAATAAGAAAAAGATATACTGTATTACATACTGATTAGTGCTATGTAGGAAAAAAGAGCAGGATGGGCACCTGGGTGGCTCAGTCAGTTAAGCACCTGCCTTCGGCTCAGGTCATGATCCCAGGGTCCTGGGATTGAGCCCCGCATCGGGCTCCCGGCTCCGCGGGAAGCCTGCTTCTCCCTCTCCCACTCCCCCTGCTTGTGTTCCCTCTCTCGCTGTGTCTCTCTCTGTCAAATAAATAAAATCTTAAAAAAAAAAAAGAAAGAAAAGCACTGGGGCTGTTGCATGCTTGGCATGCTTAAGGCACAGCACAGAGGTCACTGAACAGAGCAAGGGAGAAGCAAGAGGAGATGAAATTGAGGGGCCTGTATACTATGGGTGCTGCAGGCCATGGAAGGGATTTGGCTTTTTCAGTGACTGAAATGAGAACCTCATAGAGGTTTTGGGGCACAGACTGGATCTATATTCCAAAGCAGTGCTTCTCAACCTCTGTTGTGCATAGGAATCTCCTAGGGATCTTGTTAAAATGATTCAGGGGGTCTGGGGTAGGGCCTGAAATTCCAAAGACCATGCTTTTGAAACACTGAGCCCACCACGTTGTGAGGAAGCCCAGTGTAGCCCAGTGAAACAGTGGTAGGATTCTGGATACATTCGACACCAAGACTGATGGGGTATGGGGTGGAGTCAAGGATGACACCAAGGTTTGGGGCTTGAGTGACTGGAGGGAAGGAAGGCATGGTGTCACCCGAGCTGGGAAGCCTGCAGGAGGAACAGATTTGGAAGGGAAGATCCGAGTTCAATTTTGGACATGACTGCTTATTAGACACCCAAGGGCGGCTGTTAAGA